CACACGCACCCACGCGCACACGCACACACGCACACACGCACACACGCACACACGCACACACACGCATACACGCACACGCACACTCACACAGGCACACAGGCACACAGGCACACAGGCACACAGGCACACAGGCACACACGCACACAGCACACACGCACACACGCACACACACACACACGCGCACACGCGCACACGCGCACATGCGCACACACGCGCGCACGCACACACGCGCACATGCGCACACGCACACACGCGCACACGCGCACGCGCGCACGCACCCGCACACCCGCACACCTGCACACGCGCACACGCGCACACGCACTCAGGCACACACGCATACAGACTCACACACGCTCAGAACCCTGCTCATAGACCCAGTACGGCCGCCGTCCGAGAGGAGCATGGCCGGCTACCTGTGGTGGTCAGCCGACCAGCTGCGCACAAAGCTACGACATGCACTGGTGCGACACTCGGGACATTGAGGGCAGACCCCATGACCAAGGGCAGCATGCCCGAGAGCCAACCCTCAGCGTGATTGACGGCCAGGCCAGCTACGACCACGCCACGGACAAGTTCAGCGACGAGACGCTGAAGAAGGTCGTCCCGAGCTCACAACAGCTCGTTCACGCAGAAATGACGAGATACCTCTCGTGACTGTGTCACGAGGTCACGCGGATGCGGATATGTATTTCCAGGAGCCGCATTGGCCCATTGGGGGTGGGATGCGAGCTTTGCTTCCGCGAGCCTCATTGGCCCACTGAGGGTGGGATGCGTGCTGCGATGCGCACGGACACCAGGGAACGAAATCGACGATTTGAGCATTCGGGTGATCGGGTTTGTCCGGACTGTGTCTGGGCAGCCCGCGGATTTGAGGCAGTGCTTCTTAATAATGATCTTGACTGTTCTTGGTGTTCGACTCACTGACTTGCTTTGGATTGCCCCAGAGCCTCGACAGGTTTCCTCCCTCTCGTTCCGCTTGCGCATTTTTTCGTGGGGGGATTGGCGCTACGGGGGCCCAAAGTGGCTTTGGGGAGGGGTGAAGTCAGCCCTTTGCTCTGGGGCCAGATCTGTTTGGTGCGTCCCGCATCGAGGCATTTTTTTTGAATGGTGCGGTTTTAAGAACTCTCCTTCATCGTATTTTTTCCGGAAGCACGACGGACGGTCTGAACACCAGACTCGAACGGTAGTCCACCTGTTCGTTTGCACCTTTGCCTGCTTTCCCGCTGCCGTTTGGGCTTGGGGCCTGCAAAGTTCCGTGCCCGCTTTAAACGCGCCTTAAAGTAGCTTCCGACTGACCAGCTACCTATCCTTAGTCCCGAGGGTCTTGAAAATAGGCCTTCACCATCCACGTCCTCATTTCTCGTTCCCCCCCGTCCCTCTTCACCGCACATTTCGGGCGACGAAATCTCTACGTATCCACTGCTCCATGGTCAGGCCCAGCATGAACCCAGCAACTCTGCATGCGCCATCGTGTCCAAGCCGGGAGTGCGCGGGGTATGCACCACTGCTGGGTTCAGGAAAGGCTTGGCCAGGAAATGGTGGATATGTGCACATCTCGTCGCGTTAACCCTTGCCCGGGATTTCCTCGTATGTCAGCCTGGCCTGGCGCTTCCGCTTTGCGACCTCCCTCAAAAATCCGCCGGGGAGCTGTGCTCCGTCCCCGGCGCTGCCAGGACCCCCCCGCCCTCGGACAAGTGCACGCCAGCGCCGCCCCACGGAGCACACCGCAGTGCCAGAAGTGTGGTCAAATTGGTCGTTCGGACATGGGGCCCGCTTCCTTCCGCCCTCCTCCCGCCCGCCACCTGCTCATTCATGTTTCCCTCTTCTCTCATCCCTGGCCCCTTTCCCCGCGTTCTCACTCTAGAGGTTTTTTTTTAGTGTGATCAAGCGTGACGCTTCCGCCATGGATCTCGCACTTTGCCTCGCTATGACATCGGCGGTGGATGCACCGCCACCCTCCGCCCCTGAGTTCTGCCTCGACCTCCCCTTGCCCAGTGCTCGAGCTAAACGGTGTTTTGGCGATGTTTTCGTTTTGATTTCGTTTCGAAGCAGAGGCAGAACTAAGACAGAAGGAAGGACAACGATAGCAACACCGAGTACGGATAGCACTAGTTAGCTCGAGCCCTGTGGCCTCCATCTTCTTCACCACCGCAACATCGCTCATGGCGTTTCCGCTGGGAGACCTCTGCGCACTGGGCACGACAGGGGGGGAAAGGGGGGGTGGGCGGGGAGGAGGTCTGCGCCAGGTTACGCCGAAGCCGTCTCGCCAGAGCCCGACAGTCCGCATTGACCACTTTCGAACCCTTCATATTGCATCTCTGTTGCTTCCTAGAATTTCACATTAACGCCATCCGCCATGTTGCTCATCTCGCTGATGATCTTCACCAGGGGCGTCCGTACCGCAACGGGTCAGCAGGCGCCCACTTGGAACGCAAACGGATGGGACGAGACTGTGGTCTCAAATGGTGGGCGCGATCTGAGCGTGAGTACTTCGGGATTATGGCAGAGATCGAACTTTGCCCAAGAAGTGATCTCAGCAAATGGCCCTCTGACAGGGGTCACGTTCAAGTGCAATTGCGAGCACATCTCAATTGCCATATCGAACGCCGAGCCCAGTGGAACGTCAAATTGGAATCTGGGCACGGCGTTCGTGTGCCGACCGAATTGCAGGGCTGACATCTACGACTACTCAGTAGGTACACCCCAAATAAGCAAATCTGTATATTATACTCCACTCAGTAGCGTGATTGAGCTGCGACTTGGTGCGAACAACTATGTAGAGGTTCTGGTGGATGGAATTTCTGTATTCACAAGTGCTTTCGCCACACACCCAACTGCCCGTTTGGCTATCTCTTGGTATTATCCCGATGCCCATGTGCAGGACATATCATACATCGGTGAGACAACTACCGCTTCTGCAGCTGGTGACCCCCACTTGCAAAATGTCCATGGTGAACGGTTCGACTTGATGAAGCCGGGTAAGCATGTCATGGTAAACATTCCTCGCTGGGAGCGCGCTGAGAACTCATTGCTTCGCGTGGAGGCCGAGGCTCGCAAATTGGGTGGGCACTGCAGTGACATGTATTTCACTGAATTGAACATCACAGGATCTTGGGCATATGAGAAGCGAGTTGGAGGATACCACTTCCGATCGCAACGTGCCGCCCACGAACCTGAGAAATGGTTCGCTCTGGGTAAGGTCGAGTTGAAAGTCGTTCATGGGCGAACTGGAAGTCAGACCCAGTACTTGAATTTCTACGTGAAACACCTGGGGCGAGCAGGGTTTGCCGTGGGAGGCCTCCTCGGGGAAGACGACCACGAAGCCGTGAGCACGCCTCCGGCGGCCTGTGCGAAACGCATGAGCTTGTCGATTTTGCGCGCGCGCGGCCGTGGCTCCGCTGCGGCTTCGGGCGCAGTGGCGACCTTCTTTTGACTGCTCAGATTGGAGTGCATGCACACCCGTGAGGATGGAGTGCGAGGAGGAGGAGGAGGAGGAGGCAGGAGGCGTGGGGGGGGGCAGAGGAAGAGGAGGAGGAGGAGGAGGAGGAGCAGGAGGAGGAGGAGCAGGAGGAGGAGGAGCTGGAGGAGGAGGAGGAGGAGGCACAATGCGCCGCCAGGATGTCAGGGAGCCCGCAGCCCGCGGGCGCCCGAGTCGCCCGTCAGCGCCACTCTCGTGACTGGCCGCCCGCCGCCCGGCTGGCCGCCTCGGGGCCCCGTCTTTGCCCGACGCGGCCTCCCTTCTGTTCTGAACTTGCGCAGCAGGTCAACCCAGCGCATGCTGAGTGCACAGGTGTGCGACGTGGGCAAGCTGTGCCCCCTCGGTCCTGCCCGCTTGCTCGCAGAGGAACAAATCCCCCTCCTCCTCCCCCTCCTCCTCCCCCCTTCTCCTCCTCCTCCTCCTCCTCCTCCTCCCCCTCCTCCCCCTTCTCCTCCCCCTCCTCCTCCTCCTCCTCCTCCTCCTCCTCCTCCTCCTCCTCCTCCTCCTCCTCCTCCTCCTCCTCCTCCTCCTCCTCCTCCTCCTTTCGCGGGGGTGGCTCGAAGTGCTGGTGGAACATCGAGTTGCCGTGACATCGTCTGGCCACCGCTCGGGTCGGCTCCAGGCCCTACCTGGCGAGGCGCCTGCGGCGCCTTGGGTGCATCGTGTCGTCTGACCACGGAAGGACGGCATCCTCGGGGTATCCCAATATCTGAGCAGCGATACGGAAATCTCTACCACAGGGGATCTCGTATAAGACCTTACAACAGATCAACAAGTTGCGACTCACGCTCGCTGAAATGTTCAATTTTATTATTGCGCGAGTCATGATCTGCATCACCCGATCCACTTGTTACCATCAACATGCATGGATGTTCTTTGCATGGCTTTTCCATTGTGCTCGAATGTGTCCCGTATTGATTGTAGTCGTGTGTTGGACCTGTGTTTGAGTTCAGTTAAATCCCTTCTTGTGGCCGCGCTGAGTTATTTTTGCTATGGACTGTGCCACTATACCTCCTCCTCCTTCCACTGACGGCTATGTGGCTATGTGCGCAGCCGCTTATCTCAAGGTCTCTCGTTGTGACACATCGTAATCGTTTGCTTCCCACGCACATGCGCCGACGGCGTGCCTCGTCTGCGCTGCTGTGGTGCCGCCTTTGCCTTTTGCATGAGGTGCGTTCGCGTCGGTGTTTCGTTTGACTGATCTTCTTGTGCGAGGTGTATCCAAGGTGCTGCCATTACCGCGCTGCCCTACGCACCCATTCCCATCTTGTTCCGCAGCCTTCACGCTATGTCGCTGTCCCTCGAAGCGTCCGTACGACCTTGCACGTGTGTGTCGTGGCCCTTGGCGCCCAGCAGAGCCGACGGCAGAGTCATGCCAATGCACCTCACGTGCTCTCTCTCATCGGCCTTCCCATGCCGCGCACTGCTGGTGAATGTGAAGTGGCTCCTGCACTGGCTCACCGTATACGGTCGACACCGATGATAAGGACGGGTAACGTTCGCAAGGTTTCTTTTGCGGTCTTGCCTCTTCGCTCCATCCTGGACTACCCTCGACGGCCCGCCGCGCTCGAAAATGCGTCAGCACGGGCGTCCAAAGGGGCTTGCATCTTTATCGCGTATCCTTGCTATCAGTTTTGACTGTAATCACGGCGTGAGATGCGAGTTCGGCTTTGTTGATTCAGAGCCGAGCCCTGTGTCGGGTATTGCTAGAAGTGCCCCTGGCCCGAGGTGCCCCCAGGATTTCCATGGAGGCACCCACGGTCTCCAGAGCACCCCTCACGAGGCCCAGAGGGCCCCAGGGGCTCCAACATTGAGCGAACTATTGGGGCAGGTGGGTCGCGGGTGGGTCGCAGGCGGGTCGCGGGCTGGTCGCGGGGTGGGTCGCAGGTGGGTCGCGGGTGGGTCGCAGGTGGGTCGCGCGCGTCTGGGTCGCGGGGTAGGTCGCGGGTGGGTCGCGGGTCGGTCGCGGGTGGGTTTCGGGTGGGTCGTTGGTGGGTCGCGGGTGGGTCGTAGGCCAGGTCGCGGGGTGGGACCTCGACGACGACGACGATAGGAATAACCCAACAACGACAGCAACACCAACAACACACCACCACAACCACCATCAATACAACCGACAACAACAACACCAACAACACCACCACAAACACCAACACCAGCAACCGCAGCAACAACACTACCAACAGCACCAACACCACCACCAACAGCAAACACAGCATCACCCACAGCAGCAACAACAGCAACAGCAACACCACCAACTTCAACACCACCAACACCAACAACAGCAACACCATCAACAACAACAACAATCATTTTAAGACGATTCGCTCTTACTGGCACGCGTGTCTTGCATTTTGTCTTCCCCAACCATCGATGCCAGCCCACTTCGTCTTCGGTTGCACCCCCTTTGGGGGGGAATCTCTTCCTTGTCGGCCACTGATCGAAGTGCGAGGAAGTCTCGAGCGAGAGCGCCGTTCCTGAGTTCGGAGGCCTCTCTGGCCAAGGGCTCTCGGAATACCGATGGATAAATATCGAACGGGAACCCTTGTCGCCGTGTCTGGGCCTCCACCAACTTGCTTGAATTACGGGCAAGTCTCGAGCGAGAGTGCCGTTCGTGAGTTCGGGGGCCTTCCTGCCCAGGGGCTCTCGGAGTAAATCGCAAGGAAGTATCGAGCAGGAGCCCTTGTCGTCGTGGCTGGGCCTCCGCCAACTTGACAGAATTGCGAGGAAGTTTCGAGCGAGAGCGCCGTTCCTGAGTTCGGGGGCTTCTCTGGCCAGGGTGTCTCGGGGTAAATTGTGAGGAAGTGTCGAGCGGGAGCCGTTGTCGTTATAGCTGGCCCTCCAAGGGCCCATATTTAGACTCAAGCCAACGCTCGCGCGGGAGCCTTGTCTTAAGAGAAAATGTTGTCGGCGTCGATGCGAGAGCACGCGGAACCGTTTCCGGAGATCAGCAATCATTATTCTGTGGACGTGAGTAATTAACAACATCAACAACAACAAGCATCATCCGCGCCGCGGAGTTCCACTTCAGCCATGCACCCAGGGACAGTGAATGACCGTTCGGCCCTCTCACTCTGACCAAGCTGGGTTCGCTCTCTAACCCAACCTTGGGCTCGAAAAACCTTCTACGTACCCCCGATCCCTGGACACCCACCATTCGGGTTTTGCATGAAGTGCCCCTGGCCCAAGGCACCCCCAGGATTTCCAAGGAGGCCCCCCACGGCCTACAGAGCACCCCTCACGAGGCCCAGGGGGCCCCCAGAGCTCCAACATTGAGCGAACATCTGGGGGCACCTTGGGCCAGGGGCACCTCTAGCAACACCCGACTGGCACCTCGGCCTGCCGATTAAGTGAACAGATGCGTTCGGGAGCCGGGTGGTAATGCGAGCGCCTTTGGGTCTCGCGATGGGGCGCTGTGGATGCCGCCTGGGCATCCCATGGGCATCCTGTGGACACCTTCCGAGAGAAAAACAATTCAGCATCGTTAAACTGACCCCTATCCCCATCCCCATCCAGACCCCTATCCTCATCCCCCATCCCCATCCCCATCCCCATCGCCATCCATCCCATCGACATCCTTGGGACATTTCTCGAGAGAGGACTACACAAGCTCTGAGGGGGAAAGGGTACCCACATCGCTACGCTTGCCTTGTTTCCCTTCTTTGGGCTTCTGGGAAGCCCTCGTCGCCACCGCTGGATTCGCTTCGAAATCCTGGTCAGAATGCACCCCGGGAGAGGTCCAGGGAGTAGCGGTATCGGTACCTGTTGGTCCCCCCATACACCCCCCCACTATCTCAGCACCCCAGTTGGGGATATACCCCTCGAAATCCGAAGGAAACAGCCCATGTCCCCAGTGGGTAGGGAGGGGGTACATCGGCCAGTGGGGCCTAGGCCACGCCCATAGGGATAGGGGTCGGTTCAACGATGCTCAGATGAGGCACTCTGGATGCCGCCTGGGCCTCGCATAGACATCCTGGGGACACCATATCCTCGGCCTCTGCCCGAGTCTCGGCCCTCGGTGCGGAGGTGTGGTGCGAAGTTCGCGGGCGCAGCCCCCGTGTAGCGGTTACGTCGGCAGGAGCAGCGGCCGAAGGGCTTACGTGCGATTACGCGCCCACTGCAGAAACAACAGCACGGATGTGATGGACATTTTGCTACGTCGCAGCACGGCAGAGGCAGTCCGAATGGGCGCCCGAGCTGTCGGGACACGCAACTAACTAATTGTCTGGCTGCAATAGGGCGCGCGGGAGGAGAAGCGGCCGGAGAGGATAGGAAATGATGGACACAGCAATGCCAGGAATTTCGTTCGGGAGGGCCCTCGTGCACGAGGTATGCCTGGTTTCCCTACAGGATGTCCCGACCTCAGCCCCCAAGGTTACCGCGGTCACAGTTGGGCTTTGGAGGTTATACAGGCGTTGTTGGTCGAACTGGGCGTAACCCCAAAGAGGAGCACGCTACTCGCATCATCGATACACTGGCTCAAACCTTTGGCTCGAGGAGCTCAAGGAGCTCAAGGAGAGCATACAGCATATAGGAAGCTTCCCATTCCTATCTTGCACTCCCCGCCGCGCCGCGCGATGGATGGATACCGGCTCCACTCGGGCCATGGCGGCGCTGCAGGTGGGCGACGCCGCGATTTCCGGAGCCGTTGCTGTGGCTCCTGCGTGGCCAGACGCCCTCCTCCAGGCATCGAGGAGGAGGTGTTGCCGCACGCAGGACTCATCCAGGCTAGCGCCGTAACACAGGATGACGAACTTCGCGCCCTCCCGTTCACGGCCCCCGCCTCCTGGGACGACTTGCAGCGTCTCCTCACCAAGCTCGCCTTCGACCACACCTCCGCGAACCCCTGGCGGGCGCTGGGTTTTGGACCCCTGGATGGCCCCGAACCGAGCGAGCACAGCATCGTCTCCCGCGTCAAGTTGGTCTCGATGTTATGTTCTCCAGACTCTCGGTCTGGGTGGGCGCAGGCCGACTGCGATGCTGCGGGGCTGGCCTGCCAAGCTTTTGCGAAGGCAGGCGCGTGCTGTGAGGTGCAGTCGCCGGACATCCTCAAGGAACGCTGTCGCCTCCGCCCCCCCAAGCTCCCCCTATGGAAGGAGCTGGGCGCATCGGCCCTGACGGCCCTGGGCACGATGCCGGCCTGCCAGCAAGATTCGATTGCTACGCAGTGGTCCCAAGTGCTGGCCCCTGCGAGTCAGGATCACAGCGCGACAATCGCCGCTCACAGGAAGTTGGCCGACCTCCTGGACAAGGGTGACCCTAATTCTATTAGCGCCATAGGGAAGCAGAAGATAGTTGTAAGGGCCCCCAGCGACCAGAGCTCTTCTCTGCAGCGTATCCTGGGCGCCCTACTTCGAGAACCTGACCCTCTCTGGCGCCCCCTTAGCCTCACGTTCCTTGCGCCTGTACCCTTTTTCCCTGGGGTGGATTCCCCAGATAAGCTCTTCGACCTCTGGTGGCACCCTTTGTTGAGCGAGAAGCACGCGCCTTTGGTCAAACAGGTGGATTTGGAGCTCCAGCCAGTGGAATGCATTCTTCCAGGTCGTTCTGTGCCGCGACACGTGCAGCAGGGTCTGGCGGCATTCACCATCGACTTGACGAGTAAGCGCTCCCAACCAAAGTACACGTGCCCAGGGCACCTTTGCTGCAGCTTCCTGCTGTCAATTCTCTGTGGGTCGACCTCCCTTCGGACATGCCGCCGGGCCTCTTGCAGACGATGCGCACCGACCAGATCCAGAACAGCCCTGCCGTGTTCTTTGCCAGGCGGCTCGCCGGAATCTCGGGAGCTCTCTTTTGGAGCGCCGCCTCACTGTCGAAATCTTTCTCCCGACGGTGCTCTCGCAGGTCAACCAGGAACTTGTCATTCGTTTTCTCCGGCGCCATGCCCTCGCGCCACTCATGCACATCGGCCACAGGGACGTATACCCGTCTTCTTCGGCCCTGGCCCTAGAATGCAACGGCCCAGTGGCTCTGAATCGCGCTGGCCCCTCGTGCACTCAGGCGATCATCTTGTCACCGACCCGCGTGCTGGTGCATACCGCCGCCTCTGCCGAGACCTGGGCTCAGCTGTTGGACTCCACGCTGGAGGAGGGCGAGGAGAACGCCCTCACGAGGCTGAGGTGGAAGGCCGGCCGACACGGAGGGCGCCCTTTGGGTCACGCCCGTGGCCACGCCGGTGGCGCCGTCCGCCTCCCTGCGCCGCAAGGGGCGAGGCCCGAAGGTTTCTCCCCTCCTCGACAACGTCGCCGAGATCAGCGTCCGGGGGGAGATCGGCGAAAGCGATGGTGCTCAATTCGCTCCTGAACCACGCATGCACGGCCACGGGGTTGGAGCTGCAGCCCGCTCCGGAGAATATTGCTCCCCAGCCTGCACTGCGGATCCTGGCCGTCACTGCGTCGAATGACGTGCTGGCCACCACGGCGCTGTCGGGAAACGGCGGGCGGGAGGGTGTTCCGGGGGCCGCCCCTCCCGCCAGCGAGTGACGCGGTCCGGCGGGGATTGGGGAATTCAAGACTGCATGGGCGCCTCCAGCTGGTTTATCGACGTCGCCTTCGAACTACGTCTCGCTGCAGCGAGGCCGAGTTCCCAGTGCCGCGACGACTCCATCGACGTTGGGCGATTTTTGCACCCGTCGTCTTATTTTTCGTCGTCGTCTGATTCTTCTTTCTACCATGGGTCTGCAGACCGACTTCGGCCAGGACTGCTGGCTATCTCTCTTGCCCATTTGTTTGGTACTGCGCACCATGCGCCCGACGTGGGAGTTCCCTTCCAAATTATTTGCCAGCGCGCTCTTCGCGGTTCATTTGGGCGTGCTGCGTCATCATTTACGCCGGCCTCTTCTTCCACACCTTAGCTTCGCATGGCGCGGGTGTCTGCCGCGAGCGAGCGCGCCGCGCCTGCTTCGACGATTTCGCCCTCCAGCTCTGCAGCGGCGCGCCGGTTCCCACGGGCAGGCGGCCCTTTTTCGTGGGGGTGTTTCAGTGGTCAAGTGGAACTGCCAGGCTGTATCCGCCACTTATGGTGGAATGGTATCGCGACAAGGCGGCGTGCGTTCGGAAACTAACGGCATCGCGCGATATCGGCTTATGGACGGAGACCCACGGTAGCGCTGGTGGCAATGCTGTCTGGCGCAATCTTTCTGATTGCGCGTCTTGGTGGTCTCCTTGGCCCTCACCTGCGAGCGCCGGCGTGGGCGTCGCCATCCGGATTACTTCCTTCAAGCAGTTCAGCCAGACTCCTCGTTGACAAATGTTTTTGCCTGGTCGAGCCTCGGTGCTGCATTTGCGTGGCGATGTGGGGTATTTGGGCTTTATGTCACGTATTTCCATACTGGTCAAAACGTGAATTCCTTCGACGTGGAGGCAACTGCACTCGAGCACCTGGGTCGCCTCCCTTCGTTTCCTGAACTTCGCGACGCACTCCGGCGGCGACTCAGTCAGCATGTAGCCCCTAAGCGCGAGGTCCTCTCCATCTTGGGCGGCGACTTCAACTGCGTCGTGGATTCCGGGGACCGTCGAAGCGCCTCCCCTGGCGCCCCCTCGGGGCACCGGGACGAGGGAGGAGACTTCCTGGCGACATTTGTTGGAGATGCCCCGCCGCCTCCACAAGATGCGCCAGCCCGACGTGACGTGCGCCTCGCCCGACGCTCGCTCCAGACTCGACCGCGTCTACTGCAGCCAGGACGTCGTGGAGGGTTTCGACAGGCATCTGTCTTGTGCAGTGTTGGAGTGGTGCCCCAGGCTATCCCGCCACCGGGCAGTCAGCTTTCGGCGCGCACTTCCGTGCCGAGTTCCCGTGGATGTTGCTCTTCTCGCCGATCGCGCAGTTGACCGTCCAGATTGGCCTCGCACGGTGGCTGTGGCTTGGCAAGAACTGTTGGCGCAGGGCGATAGACCACACTTGCCGCTGAGGAGTCCGACGTGTCTCTTGCGCAGGCCATGCGGACGGCGGCGAAGTCATTAGCTATCTCGGCGTCTGCCGCCAAGGCTCCCGTCTCCAACGAGGACCGCTTCGATGTCACCATGAAGTTCTCGAGGTCCTGCGTGCAAAAGTATGCCGGCGGTGTTTTTCGATGCCTACTCTGGCGCCCGCTTCTGCGAAATTTGGCGGACAACCCGCGCGACGTCGGCCCCGCTGGCGGCGGCCGACTCCGCCTCGCGCGGGCGCGCGCGGCAGAGCTGGCCCTGTCCGCGCCGTGGGCGAACTTCCTTCACTCCGCGACGACCTTGCGAACCTTTCCGAGGACCGAGCTTCTCGCGAGCGGAAGCGCAATCATCGGTTGTTGGCGCGAGTTGCGCTCTCTGCGGCGCTCAGGGCCATGCGGTTTCCGCTGCCCCCAAGCTCGCGGCCGAGGTTCTCCGTGGGCGCTGGCCCAAGGTCTTCCGCAGGCGAGATGCAAACGGGCCGTTCCTGAGGGCGTGGTTGGGAGAGGAGAGTCGCCACCTCCCCCCTGATTTCGCCAGGCGCATCCCAGGGGGCGGTGTGCCGTGCTCCGATTTTGAATAGGCCATCGAGAACGCAAGCGATAGCTCTCCTGGGCCCGACGGCAGTCCTTTCAAGGCAAGGCGTCGGCTGGGCCCCCTGGCGGCCCGGGCCACTCATTGCGCCTTCCTGGCCATCGTTGGCCCCGGTGGGCTTGATGATTTGGCGCAGGATTTGGGGGCGTTCAACGAGAGCTCCATGGTGCTCCCCCCGCAGAAAACAGCGGGCACCACGGGGGGTGGCGACGGCGTCTACGCTGCCAACGCAATGCGGCCACTCAATATCACGAACACAGACAACATGATCAATTACAGTGCCTTTCGTTGTTGCGTCGAGCCCGCGATCACCCCGGCATCTCTGCGGCGCAGCGAGGCGTCATCCGGGGCAGATCCATGTTTTCCAACCTTGTGTACTTGGCGGAGGCGATGCGGCGCAGCTCTCTTATGTGCGATGACGCCGCGGTCGTTTTCTTTGACTTCGAAGCGGCGTTCCCGAGCGTGTGCCAGGACTTCTTGGTGGATGTGATCGAGTCCCGGGGCTGGCCCCCATGATGCGCTCGTCTGGTCAGGGCGCTATGCGCCAACGACCGCTGCCCCATCGTTGCCGCGGGGGGGGGGGGGGGGGGGTCTTCCCTGGTTCCGCGCTTGCGGCTGGGGCCCGACAGGGGTGTCCATTGTCGCCTCTCCTTTTCGCGGTGCTGTCACATGTGCTTCTACGTCGTCCACTCCGTCTCCCGACAGCTGTGCCTCGCGCTGTCGCGGACGATTTGGCGGTGGCACTTCCCCGCGGCGTGGGGTGCGCGGCAGTCCTCGAACAATTGTTCGAAGAGTATTTTCAAATTTCGGGCCTCAAGCTTCGCCGCAGGAAAAGCGGGTGCCCCCTTTGACTCTGGACCTTCTGCCTCGAGTTCGCCATCGCCTCGCCTGCGCCGCCCCCTCGTGGGGGGCTTTGCGGTTCAGCGCTGCGCAACTTATTTTGGATTCGTGGTGGGTTCGGAGCGGGCGGGGCGAACTTGGGCGCAAGTTGCGGAGAAAATGTTGCAGAAAGCCTTTGTTTGGAGAAATGTCGGGGGCGGCCAGCTCCTGGCCATCCTCGCACATCGGATTTGCGTTTTCCCAATGCTGTCTTTCTTGCTGCAATTTGACCGCGCGCTGTCGACTTGGCAGACGATCGAGCAGGAGGCTGTCACCACCCTATTCCCCGGTCCGCGTGCTTGGGCCACGCCCGCCGCCATGCAGAACTTGACGGCTTGGGGTTTCCCTGGGAATTCCCAGTTGCCGGCGACGTCGCTTGCGCTGCCAAGTGCGGGCGTATCAGTGGGAAGACCGTGGGAACGGCGGACTTCGAGTCACCCAGCGTCTGGCCAGCTTTCGTACCGTTTACGACAACACTTGCCGGCATATCCGCGAAGCTACTTGGAGCCACTGACGTGCGCGCAACTTCTTCCAGAACCTCGAGGACGCCCGCGACGAGATGTGGAGGGCCGCGCGCGACTCCGGCATGTCTATCGACCCATTATTACGAGGGGAATCTGAGTCCGTCCCGCGCGCCCGCTGCAACGCAGATGTGTCGTTGTGCTCCGCATTCCTAACCCCTCCTGCGCTTTCCTCCCTCTCTCCCGCTCTCTGCGTCGCTTCTCGATCTCCAGCGCCCTCCCTGGCCGCCGCCTCGAACGGGCGAAATCTGCCCTGGTTGGTATTTCGCGGCTGGTGCCCCCCTGGGTCTGGGCAGTCGTTTACAGAACGCTCCAGAATGGCTGGGTCACTGGCCGCCGCACGCAGCGGCGCTGTGCTTGTCCCTTAGGCTGCGGGGGCGGTGAGGATAACATTCAACGCTGCGCGCACTGCCCGTTCGCTGCGCGTTTTAGCCGCTCTCCTCTCGGATGGCAGCAGCCTGCCCCTTCGGACCGCCTGTCCTCCCTCCTCCTGTTGTCTCGTCGATTCTGCGAGGCCGCTGCGAGCGAGCATGCTCGGCGGGCTCTGGCATTGTGCGCCGTGTACGCCGCCGCCACTGCATTGCGACACGGACGCGCGCCCGCCGCCGCCGCCGCCTTTTCGGACCAATTTGCTAAGGAAACGTGCGCAGTGCATCCTTGTCTGGCCTCCGTTGTGGCGGTATCCCGGGCCGTCAGTTGAGCTCCTCTTTCCTCGTTGTTACCCTCTCTCTGTCGTCTCCGCAGGGGTGCTGTTTTCTAGAGTTTATCATTGCACGTTTGTGCATGGCCGCCGGCTGGTACTGCGGTTAATTTCTGGTGCCATTTCTGTGGACCAGCCATAGACTTGGCATGCGACTTGATTCTATGTGGGGATGCAAACAGCACCTGTCGCACCCATCTTCGGTGTGGGTCCCCGCAGACCCGCCGGCGGAAACCGTGACAGGCGCGGTTGTGCCGGAGATGTTCCGTTCAGCGTTCGGCAGAGTAGGGTAATCCACATTTGCCGCTGCTGCTGTGCGATCGTGTCCTTTATCGTCTTTTCCTAGTTTCTTCTTCTCCTCCTCCTCCTCCTCCTCCTCCGTGCGCTCGCTCACGTTACCGGGCCGATTTTCGTTGCATTTTCGTTGCGTGTCGTCGCGCTTCTGAGCTTTACCATGGGTGCCGTCGAAGCCCCCTTGAGGGGATGCGGGTTCAATACTAAACCAGAGCTGTGGAAGTTGATGGGCGTTTGCAGTGTGAAAACACATTGATGATTGATATTTCTGACCACCGCGAAGTTTCAGTATCGTTTAACCGACCTCCATCCCCATCCCCATCCCCTCCGAGACCCCACCACATTACCCCCCCAGTTGGGGATATACCCCTCGAAACCTTAAGGGAACGGCCTATACCCCCATCTAAGGGGATAAATCGGTCAGTGGGGCCCAGCCCACGCCAAGACTCGCTGTTCGATCGCCTCTCTAGTCTGGGGGGCACACTCGCAAACCGCACGGTTCCAGGTCTGTCTCGAATTTGGGGTGAGCACGCATGAGATCTTGGCGATCCGAGGGGGGCGGCGATTCGTTTCTGGGCACCGTGCGAGCGTTTGCCCTGGTATCTGTTTTGTACAGTCTGCTTTCGTTTGGCGATTGTTCCCGAGGGTTACCAAGACTTCCTCCACCATGCGGACATGACAGAGGTCGAGCTCACATCGACTCCGACCTTTAGTGCGATATTCTACCCTGTACGACCACCCTTCGGGTGCAAGGAGGTTGTGTGGGGGGACCGACTGATGACAACTGGGGAAGATGAGTGGAGGGCTTCTCCGAAGGGCTTAGGCGACCCGTCCTCCTCCTCCTCCTCGTCCTCCTCCTCCTCCTCCTCCTGCCTCTCCTCCTCCTCCTCCTCCTCCTCCTCCTCCTCCTCCTCCTCCTCCTCCTCCTCCTCCCTCTGCTCCTCCTCCTCCTCCTCCTCGGGTCGCCTGCGGCCCCTTTGGAAGCCGTGCGCGTCGGGACACCATCGGAACCAGCAGCGGGACTCCGCGGGACCCCTCCGGGCGCCGGACAGGGGCGGCGAGTGGCACCCGGGAGAAGCCGGCGGGAGCAGCCCGCCCGAGCTGGCGCACGCAGGGGAAGCGGGGCGGAAGGAGGCGAGAAGGCAGGGGAACGAAGAGTGTCAAACGACGCGAAGATCGGGACAAAATCGGATCGGGATAACTCGAAATCTCTGAGAATCGGCGGGTTTGGAGGATGTATTGGGCGCCGCGGCCGCTCCAGAGCGTTCTGGAACGCTCTGAGAGCGCTCCGGAACGCTCTGGAGCGATTTACCCCGATCCTAGCCCTGTTTTAGCGGAAGGAGGCGAGAAGACAGGGGGACGAATAGTGGCAGAAACCCCAAAACTCGGAGGTCCGCGCGGATTTCTCGGATCGGCGCTGCGGCCCCCCGGCGGCGCCTCCGGCGCCGCTCCTGGCGCGCTCCGCGCGCCAGGGAGGGGGGTCCAGCGCCGATCCGAGCAGGAAAGAAGAAGGTGAGGAGGGAGACGAGAGGGCGGATGATGCAGGAGGCAGGGGCGAGAGAAGGGGCAGAGCGACGACGTCGACGAGGGTGGCGACGAGGATGACGACGAGCGCGAGGACGACGCGGGCGACGACGACGAGCATGAGAACGACGCAAACGACGACGACGACGACGATGACGACGGCCTCGGCGGCGGCGGCGGCCCGCGGCGCGCATGCGCCCAGCGCAGGGGGAGCCCTGCCGATGGCGAGCCGCGCGCCCTGCCACCACCGTGGCGCGGCCGCGCGGGCGCCGGAGGCTCCGCAGGGGGCTCCGCGGCGTGGCCTCGGCCGGGCCCCGACGTGGGGGGGGATCGCCTCCTCCTTCCTCTTCCGCCTCCTCCTCCTCCTTTTTCTTCTTCCTCCTCCTTTTTCTCCTTCCCCGCCGCCTCCTCCTCATCCTCCTCCTCCTTTTTTTTCCCTCCTCCTCCTCCTCCTCCTCCTCCCCATCCTCCTGGGCCACTGGGTGGCCTTCCCAGGAAAACAAGCGGGTCGCAGCCCGGTCGTCACCCCAGTTTGCCCGCAGGGGCCAGGGGGTGAGAAAATTGCGGTGCGTCGCCACGCTCTCCCATCCCTTGCTGTGGCCCACCAGATACTCCGCCTGCTTCGGGCACGTGGGGGTTCCCCAGCGAGGGGGTCACTGGAGGATCCACACCCATCCTTCCCACGGCCAGGGTGCCACGTCTTGGCGTGCGTGGAGGTGTGCGGTCGCCCGATGGAGTGGTGCCCCTCGGGTGGCCTGGGGTAGCATGCCGTGTCGTTATCTCAGCGGGCGTGGCTCGAAAAACGGCCAGGTGGCATGTAGTTCGTTATCGTCTGCTTCCTGTTTGTTGCACGGCTAGGAGCTGTGCTGAAACTGAGCTCACGAGCGGCCGCTGTTTTTTTTTTGCAGCTCAGCTTCTCAAAGGGCTTTGGTTCCTGCGTTCGCGGTCAGGCCTGTCCGCGTGCTCGAAGTGTCGCACTGCGTGTGGATTTACTGCTCTCACTTTGGTGTGCTGGGGTTCATCAGGGAACGTTTCATGTCAGACAATATTTCTCCTCCTCCTCCTTCTCCCCGTTCGCCCCCTCCTCTTTCTGCTCCCTTCCCACCCCGCCTGGAGTGGAGCTTGGCTGTTTTCGGCGGTGTGGTCTTCCCCATAGGACGCACGGTTCCAAGCAGTCGCGTTTAGCAGAGGTCCGGAGCCAGACCCCCCCCCCTCCACCCCTCCCCCTTCCGCCCAATGTCGACACGCCGAATAAGAACACTTTCGCAGTGGGCGTCGGAGCGACGGCGAGCTGTGCGCCTGCCGTGCCGGCTCGAGCTCCGCGCGGCCTTTTCGAGAGCTCGCGGCCACCCTGCTCCGCCACCTGCTCCGCCGGGGGGCCCTCTCGGACCACGGGTGGTGGTAGTGGGACTCGCGCGGGGGGACTCGCGCTCGCTTCTGGGGGGGCCCTGGTATCGCTCGGGCGTGTGCATTACTCCCTGGCGAGGACCATCGAGTTCGGGTGCAACCCATGGGAGCCTGGTGTACCCTCGCAGTTCTGCCTTTCGCGTCGGGTAGCGTCGATTAGCCTCTGGGAGTCAGTTGAGAT